GATGGGAAGTATGGGCGTAGCATAGACACACGTGGAGTAGCAGGTGCTTTTGCTGTGGCCAGCACCATGCCTGGGTTGCTTTTAAGGAACTTAACTAAAGCTACCAGAATATGGGTTTCCTTAGAATAGTAACCCTATATACCCTAAACCCCGTAGACCCTAAGTCCTATATACCCTAAACCCTATATACCCTGAACCCTACATACCCTAAACCCTATAGTAACTTGATTCAAGTTCCTAAACAGCAACCCTGATGCCCACCATGACCGCCTCCACCTCCACCATGGCCGCCTGCCCCATGGAGCCGTCGAGAGGTCTGGACCTGGAAACCCTGAAAGGTCAAGCGGGGGGGTTGGTGATATAGGGTTTTATGGAAGTATATAGGGTTTTGTGTTTGGGGTAGGGGTATATAGGAGTATATGGAGGTTTATCGGGTTATATACAGAAGTATATGGGGGTAAATAGGGTTATACAGGAGTACATGGGGGGTATACAGGGGCATATAAGGTTATGTAGAGTTATGTAGGAGCATTGAGGGAAGAGTATTCCCTAACAATGGAGAATCCAATGGAAGAGAACATGGAACATGCAACGGAACCCGTGTTTTTATGGCTGAAAGGCTTGATCGCGCCTCGCAGTCCTGATACAGGCCTTTGTCACAGAAGCAGTATTGGGCACTGCCAATGTGGCTGGTGTCCAGCACACCCTCCACCTGCAGAAAACGATCCGAATTTGCGATGAACTTGTCCGCAAACTGATCGTAGGATCCGGCAGGGATGTAAGCCCCTGGAAGCAGGGTAAATGCGTATATCGGCGCGTCAGACCACTTGGCCAGCACCTAGTCCAGAGCAGATGTATCAAAATACCCGTGTGCATAAAAGGCACAGGTCGTCAGAACTTCAGGAATCTGTTACACGTGTTTCTCAAGATATTCCTCGTAAAATCCGTAGATGGACATTTATAATATCGGCTCTAATCCCTGGATTTCTTCGGCTTTTTACGAAACTCCCAAATCTACCCTCCCCCAGATTTACATGCAACCCCTCAAAAAAAGCGTACCAAGACTAGTGTCCAATCGAATACGGGGCTTTAAGCAGTTACATGCAACTTCTGGGCATCATTAGGGGGGGTACTCCGAAGCACCACGAGGAGAATGCCGGAGATAAATCCAACGCCCCAACGCCATCGATCCAGATAGTGGAGCGGGTGGTCCACACGTGGAAAGAAGGCAGGGAACCCTGGGTCAGTTGAGCTAAAGTCTACGCTCCTAGTATCCCCTTAAACCAAGCCCTAGCATGGGGTTTAGGGTTCAGGGTCTACATGCTATACTGGAATATCAAATTAAAAAATGAAATGGAAACAGTGTTTATAGGACAACCCTTACCATACTCCCGTATAATCCCCTATATAACCCCCTTTCAAGGAGTTTAGAGTATGGCTCATTTCTGGATTGCCTCGCCACTCCCCCCTAGCCTACCCCCTCAAGGCTCCGCAAAGAACCACAATCGGCCTTTAGAAATTCAAATTTAGGGGGACAAAGTGAGGTAGTATAGGGCCTAGGGCTGAGAGTTGAGGGCTTGGGGCTTAGGGCTTAAGGTCTAGGGCTTAGAGTTTGCGGCTTGGGTTCGACGTTTAGGGCATGTAGCAACCTCAGGGAACGTGAGTTCATGTGCGCGAGAATCTCGATGTAATAAAAACAAGCCCAAAAGCCTCTTCAAAAAGTCAACCGCATGCATTGGACTCTGATAGCTCAACCGCCTCCCACATGGACATTACGACGTTGAACAGTTCAGGGTCTAGGGTTACGGCCAGTGTTTACAACGATCTTGTCTAAAGATTCTACTAGGGATGCCGAAGGATAGACATGCAAGATGATCTCCATGAGCTACGTTGGGGTTATATTGGGGTTATATTGGGGATATATTGGGGTCATATTAGGGTTATGTTAGGGTTATATTGGGGTTATATTGGGGTTATATAAGCCTTTTTAACAGGAGCCTGTGTGAAGTACCATGCTTTTTTCGGGGCTGGGTAGCCCCTCAGCCCTGAACCCTAAACCCTACACCCTAGCCAGCAATGGCCCAGAAGCAGGCGCGGCAACAGCTTTGGGGTCGTTTTTCGAATGCCCTCTGCACGAAGACTGCTGACGCAGCACACGCCCCGCAGATGACAATAGTTGTACATGCCTGGGTAGGGTTTAGGGTTTAGGGTTCGGGGTTTGGGGTGGGCTGCTATTGGGGAATGGGAAAAATCTGGAAGCAGGAGACCTCTGTATGGACTGGATCTCCGAATTCCAGAAACCATAAACCTTAAACCCTAAAGACTAAAGTCACTGAACCCACATTGGGGTAATCTTCTACGAGAGCTCAGGTGCCCAGGACACAGAGATGTTGAAGCCAGAATGAAGCGCAGCTGAGATCGTGAAGTACAGCACCGGGCAGCTCACGAAGGGCAGGGTGGCCAATGTCAGAAGAGTTGGGCTGGTCTTGTACTTCAGTTCCGGATAAAAATCCATGGCTGACATAGATCCCTGCCCCAGGGATGCAGTTACTGGCCCTGATTTTTACGGCTTCCGAGGGAGGACATAGTGATTCTGGTCAATAACATTTAAAACTTTCCCAGGAATATCCTAGGCCCCAGCTCTGGGATTTTGAACCCTGAACGTTCAGGGTTTAGGGCCTAGGTTTGCGGGGTTCCCATGCTAAGGATGAGGTTATACTAGGGTCCTGCTTGGAATCCCTCTATTTATGTTAACTATCCAATCCGTATCGCCACAATAGCAGCTACCCTGCTACAGGTGGTAAGTTGCTACTAACAACTTCTGGGTTTCCTTATGTAAGTTACTCGATTGAGGGGTTAACGATGCGGACAGGTTTCTGCAACCCCGCAGACCACCTCTTGAGCCACAGCTTCGTCTTACATGTCCATGTTAAGATGTCAAGGGTGATGGTGTTTAGACTGCTGTTGGCAAAAAAAATCCTGCATGACCTCAGGTACACTATAGCAAGAGATCTCTCAGAAATGAAGTGTATAGAGCCTTTCAGGGTTTTGTCCACCAAGGCTAAGGTCTCTTTGCGGTACCCTATGCCCTGATTTACGGGGAATCTAGATAACCCCTGTTTCCATTTCGTTTTCCGAAGTCTTTTCCATTTGATTCTTCATCATTAGCAATTATTTAGGCCCCTAAACCCTAAACCCTGAAAAACCCTAAACGCTAAATCCTACATTACGACTGCCCCAGCCTGATGGTTTCTCGGGAAAGGCTTTCTAGGGTACTGTGAGAGTCTTGTTAGGGAGCAAGTAGGGGACTACGTTCAGAATTTTTTTAAACGGATTAGGTTGCCCCATGAAAACCGACGTTAGCGTTTCTGGTCAGAATGTGGTCCGCGTGCTGCCGCGAAAATCTCATGGCTAGCATACAGACCAGAAAAATCCGCAAGGATTCCAAGGGGATTGTGAGGGTTCCTGTTAAGGACTCTAAAAGGGTTTAGGGTTTAGTCTTGGTATACTCCCACATGGAGTAGAGAGACATTGGAAGCCTCCACGCAACAGCAGTCCACAACTCACCTCCTTACTGATCAGCCGGGAAGGCGAGAATTGGAAAAGGAAAGAGGAAACTACCACATTCTTGGGGCATATGTGAGAAATAGTCTAAACTCCTTAAAGGGGTTATATAGGGGATTATATAGGGGACTACTATAGTGGTTATTGAGGGGGATACTAGGAGTTTAGACAATGGCTAATGTGAAAAATAGTCTAAACTTTTGGCCTCCCGCTTCATAGTCCTTGTACTAGTCCCGCATATAAGCCCCCATTTTTCCCCGTTTACGGAGTTTGGATTATAGCTCATGCAAGGACTACTGCAAGGATCCATTCCTTCATTCCTTACTACCTCTGGTTTAAGACAAACAAATCACGAAAGCATAAATCCCTGAAGAACGGTTTAGGGTTTAGTGCTTACGGTTTTGGATGGGAGTTTGCAGACATTCGGGCCCTTCATTTGCTGCAATATACGATAAGCCGTGTTCTTCCCCCCCAAAAAAGCACTCTGATGTCTGAAAGCCCACATATCCCTGAACTTGACCTTAAGGATCCCTTCACTGAACCTTCACGCCCGAAATCACTTATAGTTTAGGGTTCAGGGCTTAGGCTTCAGGGCTTAGGGTTTAGGGTTTAGGGTTCAGGGTTTAGGGTTTAGGGACTGCCGGCACAGCGGGGCCAATCCTAACCTAACCCTGAAGACGCCCCGACCCCCGGACTTTAGGGCATGGTTAGGTGGACCTCCCACCTAGCACGAGTGACTACAAGGGATACTGGTGACTATATTAGTTACGTTCCTAATTTACCATTCTTACAGGGTGGGGGTCCACCTAGGGTCTAGGAGTCTAGGATTAGGGTGTAGTCTGGGCTTATGGTTTAAAGTAGAACAAATCAGGATTTGGACCCCTTTCCGAACATGAAGTCCTCGGATACTTGAAACTCAAACGCCAAAGCTCTATACTGACGGTCATGGAATGGCTTGGGGCTTAGGATGGGGTTAGGGACCTCAATAATCACAGGGGGAATTTGGGCAGTTTAGGATTTACGAATTTGGGTTTGGCACATCAATCATCGGAGTAGGAATTTAGGGCAAACCATCCTAAGAGCATACAAAGATTACAAGAAGACAATTTGGGTGCTGCCCCCACCCATTAACAGTCTATAATAGGAGTCATTTTAAGTGCTATATATAGTTATATCATACATATTATGCAACTGTGAATGGGTTGGGGCAGTACCCAAGAGACAATCTTCTTAAGTAGTCAGCCTTCACAGCATTGCAGTCAACAGCAGCTTAGATATCGGCTGGAGTCATGGGCGGAACTTATCTGGCTCTAAGCTTGTTTCTGATAGATGCTTGAAGTCTCCCAGACTTTTACCTAACCCTTACTTGCAACCCATTAACCCCAAAGCCCTGCCCTCACACTCTGAACCACTGAACACCTTGAACCCCTGTTTGCCTGTCCGTAGCTGCCTAGGACGAGCTTGTCCTAAATGATCATGGGGATTGCAGTTTAGTTCTGGGTTCCCCTCTATACAACCCCATCAAGGTTTCCCATTTCTCAAACTTTTTTGGGTCGACATTTTTTTGGGGGGATGGGGTGTAGGGGGGTTCAGTGCGAAGAACCCATAAGCACACAGAATGCATGGCTTTAAAGTCTAGGGTTTTGGGTGCGTGAAAACCCTTCCCTTTCAGGTCATTGGCTTACAGGGCGCTAGAAGACCCTAAACTCAAAAGGCTATGTATGCAAAGCTTTCTCAGAAAAGGGTTGATGCCCCTAGAAACCCTGAACCCTAAAATCCTAATACACAGGGACTACAGAGAACAATCTGGTTTGAAAAGCTCCATGTGGACTCTATAGTCCCCGTAAGTAGATAGATTATGGGGTATATGGGGGTCCTATTATTATACAGCCAAACCCATATTCTATCTACTTAGGTGGGACTATACATACAAGACTGCTTGTGGTCGAGGGCAGGGTGCCTTCATACCACGTAAGAAGAGGGATCATGGCACATTTGGGCTTCAGTCTAAACTTCTAGCATTTGCCTGAATAGCCCCTGTAATCCTCCCCTACATAGTCCCGCTGAAGGAGTTAAGACTATGGCACATTTGCGGTTTAGTATGTGGTACTTTCCTCAAAGAGGGGGACCCCAATATAGGCGTCAATAAACTACAACCGCATACAGGGCTTATGGTTTGGGCTTCACGGTTTAGGATTCAGGGCTCAGGGTTTAGGATTTGGGGCTTCGGTTTTAGACTGTGTGGTGTAGGCTGTGATCGGAATGTAATGCGCAGCACATGCAGGCTTTTACTTCAAACTATGACTCTTGTATGTTCAATGGGACTGGACCACGGTACATGGTACATACTATTCGGAATTCCATATGATGTAATTGTTTTGCTGGCAGATATTTAACTAAAGCAACTGTAGTCCGAATTGTAGGGATCTCTTCAGCAACAAACCCGAAAATCTCGGACAGCCCCCGATTTTCCAGTCTCTAACTAAACCGGAGTCATCCCTCCTATGTCAGAAGGATTTAGGTTCATAACCCGCAGAATAGGACAACTGCATAAGTACGCTTACCAACCTTCCCAAAGAGCGATAATGGCACTCACTAAGACCATAAGACCATAACAGCCATCCTTGGTATATGGGACCTTCTCAAAAATTTAGAGCTTTGTAATCTGTTCCGGGGATCTGGATCCAGAAAGAGCCAGGAGAATCATAAGTGCCAGGCCAGCGTCCACGAAAGGCACAAATTGGTGAAGACACCAAGCACGGCCATATTCGGCCAGAAGATCAACCTAAAGGCTCTGCAAGGGGGTGTTTAAGGTTTGGGGTTTCTTTGAGGATCCTTTCAACAACAATTTTACTGTTTTGGTGTTATATAGGTGGGTCCCACTTCTGTGGAAGACCCATGATGTGGATCTAGGACGGTGTGCATGGGGTGTTCGCCCTACACCCTAAATCCTAAACCTTAAACCTTGAACCCAGAACCTTAAACCCTAAATCCCAAACCCTAAACCCAGAATCTTAAACCCTAAACCCTAAACCCAGAACCTTAAACCCTAAATCCTAAACCCTAAACCCTAAACGACTCGGGGTCACGGGCTTGGGTTCCGGGTGGAGGGCTCAGGGCTTCCTGCAGAGGGTCAAAGATCCACGATTCAGGGCTTAGGGAAGGTGTAGCTTCAGGTCTGATTCAGGGTATAGGGTTTAAGGTTTAGAGGTTTAGGGTTAAGGTGTTTCAGGGTTTAGGGTTTAAGGTTTAGAGGTTTGGGGTTTAGGGGTTTCAGGGTATAGGGTTTAAGGTTGAGAGGTTTAGGGGTTTAGGGGCTTTCAGAGGTTTGGACTTAAAGGTTTTGGATTTAGGCTTCCATGTTTTTGGAGGGATTCTCGGCCGCTAGGTTGAAGGCAGCTACTCGGACTGGTAGGCTGACGATTTGGCAACCCTTGTGTAGACGCCAAGTCCCTGTGCCCTTACTTAAGGGAATAATATAGGGTTATCGAGGGCTTCAGATATAAAATAAGGGTATAATATAAGGCTTATATAGGGTGTTACATAGGGATAGTGGGAAAATGGAAACTACTAAAATATAATAGGGTAGTAAGGGAATATATGTGTAGACACCAAGTCCCTGGGCCCCTAAACCCGGGACCCAAGCCGAAGCCCGGGTTTAGGGTTTAAGGTTATCCCTGACCCCCAACAGAGTATACCCCAAACAATACACCCATAAACCTAATTCCCAGTTCGAGGGTCCCTCAAACAGTACATCCAAAATCCTGAACCCCTAAACCTAGTTCCCCCTGAGCCCTGAACCCCTAAAAATATTTCCCCTTAAACCTAGTTCCCCCTAAACCCTGAAGCCCTACACCCTAAACCCTAAACCCTGAAGCCCTACACCAAATTCCCAGTTCGCGAGACATGCTCCGCTTTTCCGCTGCGTTCGGCACCATTCTTGGGCTCGACCTTGACTGGGAGCTCACTGCACCAAAAAAATGGCGAGGCTTGGGTTAGGGTTTACGATTTGGGGTGTAAGGTTAAGGGATTTAGGGTGGTTTTGGGCTTAGGTATTCAGGGCTTGTTAGGGTTTTCGGTTTAGAGTGTACGTGGAAAAGAAAATGGAAGCTATTTATGGTTTTGGGGTTCAGAGTTCAGGGATTTAGGGCCCATGGTGCAGGATGCAGGCATAAAAATGGAAAACGAAAAGGGAATTGAAATGGAAACTGGGATTGTATGCAAGTACGGCTTAGGGTGTAGGGAGTTACGGTTGAGGCTTAGGATTTGGGGCCAGGAGATATGTGCGGGCAGGAGAAAACAGCAGCAACAGAGTCGCACAGACGGTCGAAAAGAAAAGTCTTGAAAGCCTCCGAGGCTAGAAGGAATCTTCTACCCCTAAACTCTAAATAGGATCAGATAGGAACCCAGTCTAGCAGGCAATGCCTTCGAAGGACACTTACTTGACCTGAAAACCTAAGGCCCAAAACTTAAACTGGACAGAAAACTCAACCCTTCAGACTTTCAATTACTGTACCTTCTCCCTGCCTCCTAAGCCCCGAATAGGAACGCATATGCTTCCCAATTCAGCAACAGTTGCCAACTTGGCGATGCCGTAGGCGGCGAAGACCAGAACTGCCTCAGCTGAGTTTTGACACTTGGCTTCCAGCCACTCTTCTCGGGCATACATAGAATTCTTCATCAAGCTTGTATCTTTATTGAGCTTGTAGAGGGGTTTCAAGGTGGATACAACAGGTCTCAAACCCCAAAGCCGAGTCGTTCAGTTCTCTGGATCGGAACACCCATAGAAAGGATTGAGGTTTCCTTGAGGGTTCGTCTTGGGGTGACTTTGAAGAACCCATGTGGATTATGCTCAGAAATTGTGCCCTTGGGCTGGCACCATATTCTGGGGCACAGCAACAGACCCCAACCTTGGAAACTCCCCCTTCTTTCAAGAAGTTTGCACTGTAGAACAGCATAACCACCAAAAAGCACTAGTTCATTTTAGCATGGCCTTCGGTTGGGCACGTGCAATCTGCCAGCATGCCCCTCGTAAACTCAATGATCGACAAAAGACCCTTAACATGCGCCACACATTTTCCGGGGCTTTGGGTTTTGGGGTCTGGGGCTTTGGGTCTAGGGTGCATGATTATTTTATAATCACACGTTAGCTTCCGAAAATAGGGCACCCGTCCTTATTATAGGTACCCCAGAAACCGACACTTAATTTCCGGAAAACGAAAACCCCATAAATAGACCCTCTTTTACCCCCTTCTGGGAGCACTATACAATACATTTCAATGAGAGCACATTGAGCTCTTTGGCTTGTCTTAAGGCTTAGGGCAGTTTGGGGTTCAGGATCAGCGGCACTGTCCAGGCAGTACAAATCGTAGTACAATCAAGCTCACAGTGATAAACCTAAATCATAAACCAAAATCACCCTGAGATCTGGTTGAAGTACCCTATTCTAATTATAGGGTTCAGGGATTAGGGTTAGGGTCATATTGGGTTATATTGGGTTATATTGGGGCTATATTGGCATTTTACCTATGCAAGGAATCTGTGACCACGACAGTGGCAATCTTCAGACTCGTGTATTACCGCGTTGCTGTTAAGGAATTGGAACCAAGCCTAGTATGATAAGGAAACCCTATTTTTACTATATACCCATATTATGGTAACTTAATTTACATTCCTTGAACCCTAAACCCTAAACCCCAAACCCCCTGATAGGTGCGGAAGGAATACCCTGCTTCCTTGACAGCCACCCAACTTAAAACCCCTAAACCCAATTTAAGTTCCTGAACAGCAACTCAGATTATGGGCTCACGAATGGCCTGCCGAAGAGGTCCATCCTTTGAAGCTAAGCCACAGTCACAGCCGCTGTGGCTGCAAGATCAACAGAGTATTCCTGCCGCACTGAAACGGTGTCTATAAAGTTGTTTGGGATTTGGGGTTTCGGGTTTAGGGGCAAGCGTTTTCCCTGTGAGTGCATTCTGGGGTCCTTGATGCTTCAAAAAGGATAAACTGCTTGCATGGTCTTCAGAAACTGCAACTTTCAGAGATCACCATGGTCGCGAAGTGGGCCTGGCCTGCAGAAACAGCTTCATTGAAATTTCAGCAGCAATAACCATCGACAGAAAAACGCTCTCTGAATGGATCTAGGATTTGCAAGGGAAATGTGCCCACGAGATACCAAGCAGGGCTATAAAGTCCGGAAGACCCCCTCTACCTTGTGCAGGGTCTATGTAGACTACCATCTAGGGTCCATGATCTTGGGAATCGGAGCCTCCCTAATTCCCCAAACACTAGACCCTAAACCCGAAACCAAAGCCTAAACCCTAAACCCTGATAGAGACCCTTCCTCAATCAGCTTCAGCTTGTCATAGTCAGACATGCCAGCTGCAAACCCTAAACCCTAAGCTGCAAGCTCTTGCAGCTCTTCGGTCTTTGGCCCTTTGTAGCAGGGCTCCCGGAAATCCAACGTAGCTTTGAGCCAGGCTCCCTCACAAGCAACAACATGGTTTAAGGTTTAGGGTATGGTAGCCATTGGGGTACTATTCGGGTTATATTGGAGTTATATGGGATAATGGAAAGAAAATGGAAACTACTACAATGGGTTATATAGGGTTAGGGTGTAAGGAAGAGGACTTAGTAAGTGGGTTAATAAGCAGATAACTAGGGTCACTATATTATGGGTTAGAGGGGTTATAAACCTACTTACTAAGTCCCCCTGACCCTATACCCTAAACCCTATATATGGTAGTTTCCATTTTGTTTTCCATTATTACTAAGTCCCGGCGACCCTCCAAGTAGGGAAAATTTGCGTGTAGTGGTTTATGGGGTTCCCTGATCCCTGCTGAGGATTCCATCAGGGCTCTATTATTCGGGTTTAGCGTTTAGGGTTTAGGGAATCCCTCAATAATCGAGAATCAAACAGAAAAGAACATGGAACATGAAATGGAAACCCTTATTTAGGGCTGAAGGTATGATGTTTCTATGATGCTATCTACCTAGAGTAATAACCTAGACCCCTTAAAGAAGGCAGAGATACCAAGATATTGGAAACAAAGCCTTTCTTTCAGGGTACGTTGGTGATGCTAAGTGAGACTTGTTATGGACTTGTAGCAATCATTGCACCTTGAACTTTACACCCTAAGCACACGGCTCTTAGACCTCAAGGTTTAGGGTTTAGGGTAGGATGGAATAGAACGTTCTGAAAAAAAAACAGTATGGTGGAGAAAAAACATGCATGACCCTAAATACCTTACACCTTGAGAATTATGGTATGATAGTATACTAAGGTCATCAGCATTTCTAGCAGCATCAACCGTAGGACCCCCCATTTTGGGAAACTAGCACATCAGAATCACAAGATCCGTATTTTTGGGGGGTTAGGTATCCAAAGGGGCTTTACCCAACCTACCCAACATGGCATACGCCCATATAGAACCCCCTGAAACCCCAGCTTTTAAAGCTCCAATTTTTGTTTGATTCTCCGCGATTTGATTCTCCGTGATCACAATTCAGGGGCTAAAAGTAACCAGAATCCCCAAACCCGAAACCGAAAGCCTTAATTTCTGAACCCTATCCGCAAATCTTACTGTTGAGCCTTGCCTACGACAAAGCCACTCTTTGATGTGTTTGCGGCCGCTACAACAGTCTGGTGGCACCCTCACAATGGGGCCCCAAAAACCGGATTGAGGTTCAAGACTGTATGCGGCGGTCCTTTAACCATGAAAACAAAGAACAATTTTCTGGAGGTCCCCTACTTTGAAAAACTTCGTGCGGGGCCCAGTCTCCATGTAAAGGCCAAGCCCAACAAGAGCCCCACCAAGACTATCTAAAGGAAGCCTATATGAGCTATTGTGTAAACGCTTAGGAACCCCCTTTACAATCCTGATAATCCTCCCCTATATAATCCCACATTAAAGGGCTTAGGTTATAGCTTATGTGCTGTTCCATTTTGATTTGGAGAAATGTCGTGTTTCGTTCTTTTGGCGATCCGCCTCTTCTTTCAAGTCTCCATCAACGTGATTATCAGGTTTAAGGCTTGAGGTTGGGGGAGGGCATATCATTCCTGCACAAAGTCTTTAAAAGCAATCGAGGACTCTACACCCTCAAGCCTAACCAAGAGCAAGAAAAAACAAGTTGGGCTTAGCTCCGTAACCTTAAATTCTGAACCCCTGAAGCTTCAGCCTCTTGACACGCTAGCCCATACGTGCTAAGACCTACACCCTCAACTCCCAACCCATAACGCCCCTTAACATTCATTGCGGACAGAAGGTTTTCTAAGCTTGGAACCTGCACGAACTTCATTGCCGCCGCCTCCGAGTTCGGCTTCAAGGTTTAGCAGCGGAAGCTCAAGATCTAGGATTTTAGGTGTTAGGGTTCTCGATTTCTGGCTTGCGGTAGGACTTGGAGAGTCGTAGAACAGTAGCTTGGTGTGGCTTTCAAGACTTGGGATTTAGAACCTGAGGCTTTAGACATAGCAGAGAGGCCTGTAAGCGACTGTGCAATTCAGCACGACATGAGGCTGCATGAGAAACTGACAAAACTGAAGTCGGGAGTTGAAACATGCCATGGAGTTCAGTTGAAAACTCAGTTCCACAAATGTGATGAATTCGTAGAAATGAAACCCGGCTGGTCACAGAAAAGAGGACTGTCATCAGGCCATTTTCTGGAAATCGAACAAGACTAATAATATGCTAGAATGTAGTAGAATATACTGTAATATACCACAATATGGCCGCGACCTACGTTTCCAAAAATGCTCGATCTTTGAAACACAATACTTCAGAAGCAAGCTTCTCCGGCCTCCTCACTGGCAGCGTGAAACGAGTGCCACGGGTCATTTGCCGTCAGAAGGGGGATGTGCACGAGGTCTGCGCGTGGATCACAAGCATCACTGACGCACTGAAAACATTGCCCACCGAGGCCCGGGCAGGAGAGCAAGTTCAAGTTGTACAGGGCTCTGTCCATGTGAGTGCAGATATTGCTCGATGGGCGGCTGCGTCTTGCATGCATCAATGCCTCGAACCCATGACTGTAACCCAAACAACGTCTTACATCATGGACTGCAACCAAGGAACGCATTCCAAAAGGCATCCCACGGTAGAAGGGTTGGAAGCTCTGGCCATGAAGCTTGGCATCAGCAGACATACCAGGTAGAAGCAATTGCGCTGCCCCGCGTTCGTGATATAGATGCATGGAACTCGTCATGCAGCGGGGCGCGCCTTGGGGAAAATGGTTGCTCTGTCACGGCTTTGCATGTGCATTCTAAGCCTCCGACAGCTTCTTGGTCATGTCAATGACCTCCTCCAAGCATTGCTGCAGGTCATCCGTCTTCTTGTCCGAAGGCTTTCTGGAGACCCTTCGGGGAGGAGGGTTCCTGAGGCAAGCTTCTTGTCCGAAGGCTTTCTGGAAACCCTTCGGAGAGGAGGGTTCCTGAGGCAAGCTTCTTGTCCGAAGGCTTTCCGGAAACCCTTCGAAAAGGAGGGTTCCTGAGGCAAGCTTCTTGTCCGAAGGCTTTCTGGAAACCTTCGGAGAGGAGGGTTCCTGAGGCAAGCTGCTTGTCCGAACGCTTTGTGGAAACCCTTCGGAGAGGAGAGTGCCTGAGGCGAGCTGCTTGTCCGAAGGCTTTCTGGAAACCCTTCGGAGAGGAGAGTTCCTGAGGCGAGCTGCTTGTCCGAAGGCTTTCTGGAAACCCTTCGGAGAGGAGGGTTCCTGAGGCAAGCTTCTTGTCCAAAGGCTTTCTGGAAACCCTTCGGAGAGGAGAGTTCCTGAGGCGACTATAGCAAGGACACCCTACTGTTTAGTTTGTACCCATATTATGGTAACTTGACTTAAGTGCCTTATCAGCAACCCCGTCATACTACCAGCAACAAAGAAACAAGGAGCAGCCTTCGTACACTTTCCGAAGCAGCCTCAAGGCAGACTGAGATGTAGAACATCGTCACAGCTCAGAGAGCCCAATACTTGTTAATTGAAAATATATAGTCCCCCCATAAGTAAATAGAATATGGCTTTAGGTATGTTATAATAAGATCCCATATACCCCATATTCTATTTACTCAAGGGGGCCTATCTATCATAATAAGATCTGGCACATTTCTTAACTAAGAGGTATTACCCTGGGAGCAGAGGCTTCGGAGCTCTCTGTCCTTAACCCAAACCTTTCAACCCAAGCCCCTCTTCTGAAGCCCCCTGAGCCAGACCCTTGAGGTTTTGAGTTCGATGTCTGGGGGTTTGGGCTTTAGAGTTTAGTCCTTGGGGTTCCAAGTTTTGAGTTTTGGGTGAAGGGCTTGAGGTTTAGAGCTGCGGCTACGCCCTGGACCCGAACGAAGTTTCATCTTTTCACACGCCGATCTGGCGACGCGCTTGGACGGTGCACGTCGACCACACCTGGGACGAACAATAGGTTAGTGGTTTAAAGTTTGGGTAACATGTAGGGGCGTGTTGAATCGGAATATGCTTTTGGGGGTAGGTTTGTAGGATAATTATTAGTGATTCAAGCTTCCACATTAAGGTGTAACACCCAAACAATCCATTCAGGAGCCCCTGTAATGCCCTCATAACCCGTCCTTGTCCCTAAGATGCCGAACCCTATACCCTAAACCATGTTCGGCTTGGGGTTTTGTGTGGTGGGCTAGCGGCCTAGGCTGAGCGTTCAGGGGTTAGGGCTTATCGCTTTAGAGTGGGAATGCTGGGATCCCTGAACCCTAAAACCCTTAAGTTGTCAGGATCTCGGTTTGGGTGTTTCTTGCCTAAGGCTTTATGCAGAATTTCTAGGTTTCCAGAGTGAATTGAGGGTTCGAATTTGACAGGCTTAGGCACCGCCTGGAATCTGCATGGTGGTCTGCGGCATGAGGGTTCCCATCATGAATCTCGGAGACAGTTGCGACCCCGTTAAAAAACTCTGAAGACTGCGGATCCTCATAGAGGAACGGGGCACGCCATAATCTCCTTCTAACCCCATACCTTCCTTGGGTCCTTGAGGGCACCTAATACGAGAGACCCTCACCATTCACCCTGCACCTTGGGGGTCATTGAAGAAGGCCCCTGTGATAAGCATGGAGGGACTCCTCTATGATAGATTGTTGAAACTAAGTAGCATGTTGAAGCCCACTTGAGGTACCCTATCCCCTGAACCCTAAAACCTAGACCCTAAATCCTAAACCCTACCTATACAAGGAACACAAGCCCATAATACTGGTGAATATTTAGGCCTTCAACCCCAGGAACTTCAACCCTGGACCCTGAATGTCAAGCCATTAAGGCCTGAACCATAAATCCCGCTTTGGGTTGTGAAGCTATGAAACCCAAAAATCCTAAACCTTGGTGGTGCATGCAAGGGCAGACTTTGGAGTATACATATCCCTGTATAGCCCTATATAC